GGATTCCGTCCGCGAGGATTATAAATGAATTATATTTATAGCCTCCAAACATATGTGTTCTAGTTCTACAGATCTATGTAGCCATTCTGGAGATATCCATCTAAATATTCGCATTTAAAATATTAGTAAGATTATAGAAATGTTTAACCGGTAAAGATTTGCTGTTGTATGTATTTTTTTTTATATCATAAGGTGGCAAACGAGCGAGCGGCCACCTGACATATCCAGCGGGATAGCGAAGTGACCGTTGCCCATAGACATACGCAATTGCATATACGTTGCCTACCTTTAATCGACGGTGGAGAGGATGCACAGAAAGAAAATATTTTCCCTTCCCATGCACCCTCTCTTCCGGAAAGTCCACTTCCACTTTCCATCCTTTCCTTACAAGAAAAAAGAGGGGAAGGGAAAGAGGACTAAATTAGGCCTCCGGGACGCACACTTAAAATGTATGGATGGAATACAAATTAGTCAAATGAAAAAAACAGTAAAAAACAATTGCGTCATACAATATAATGCTTTTCAAAACCATTAGCAGTATCCATTAATACTTCAAGCATAAGAACTCGGGAATACAAAGAGAGCAACATTTATCATGTTAAATTGTAAAGTCACTGCCATTAGGAATATACAGAGCCTTTGTAAAAATACATTTACATTGGTATATTATGAAGAAATGTGTTCTTAATATTTTAGTAATTTAATATGATTGATAATATGTAAAGATAACGAGATATATATAAAAACATATAGTACGCTTTATCCTAAGAAAATAACCTTTGTAATAACATTGTTGTTTAATTTAGTTTCTATATGTTTAGTTTTTAGTTTAGTTAGTTTTTAGTAATGTAACAGCGTCGGTGGCTCAGGGGTCAAGCACTTGAATTGCAATCTGCATGTACTGAGTTTGAATCCCGCCATGTACCAATGTGTTTTTCAATTGCCGATATACATATCCGACGTACATTTATCCGACGTTCTTACGGTGAAGGAAAATATCGTGATGCAACCTGCACATATTTGAGAAGAAATTCAAAGATATGTGTGAAGTCAACCAACCTGCACTTGACCAGCGTGGTTGACTATGGCCTAATCACCATTAACTTAGTGTAGGCTCCGAGACCCTCGGTGGGGACGTATAGCGAGCTGATGATGATTACGATACATTTTTAGTAATAGCGTGGGATTTACTGTATGTTTCTGAAAACTAAATCTCTGTATAAAATATATCGTCATCCTTGTCACTATCTTTCACAAAACAGATATAACTTTTGAACAGGGATTTTAGGTTTAGAAACCCACGGTTGTGCTGTGAATATTTTTAGTAACGGCGCTACTCTATCATTAAAAACGGGTTTTATTTGTACAAAACGTTAAGGTATTATTACGATGTTGAAAATAAATGAAGAGCAAACATCTACAGTTTGTTTAGGACTGTTGATGTTCGTTGTTTGTGCTGATTCAAAACGTAACGAATCCGGTCACTTTTTGTTTTGTCGGATTTTATTTTTTATTTGCTACATGATATCGCTATTTATTTTTTTATTTTTACATTGAAATACCATTGATTTTTCAAATTGTATTAAAGATTTTGTTAAGTCTATATTTTCAATGAGAATGACAGGAATCAATTTCGAATCAACGATCATGTCCAATGAATAGCTTGTGTTTGTCAGTGGAAGCTTACGTTTAGGTTAACAACAAATATTATCACGTGTAATAATAACTTTGGCAAAGTCTTAAATTGTTACACTTACATCGTGGTTAAGTTAATATGCTTTTCTTTGGTTTTAAATTTACTGCATTTACATATTTGTTGCATAATTTTAAAATGCATAGAACTAACAAATTAATTTCCTTTGTAACACCACACGTCAAGTTGTCCCTCTCGACGTGTCAAGTATGTGCTAGTGAATCGGCGGAACGTTCTCCACGACTCTTACCTTAGATGCTTTGAAGCCTCTCCTACACTTTATTGAATATTAATATCACGCCTTAATCATTTTAATCCAGAAATATTTTAACGGCTATCGTAATATTATAAATGTTTGAATGAATGGACGGATGGATGTTTGTTAGTAGTTATCTCCATAGTCTGGATAAACGTTTAGACTAGTAATTAAGTTTTTGTTTTAATTCTGTGCGAGTTGAGGGCAATAGCTAATCATCTATAAAATAAGAATTGATTCATGCACAGCCTAAGAATCTTGGTGGTTGACATTTTGTATAAAGATTTCTTTTATTACATAGGTGAACCCTACAATTTTTATCTTTAATTTATAACCTAAAGGTCTAAAGTGCGTGGAGAAACATTGTATTTCTTACGCTATTTTTTAATAAAATATAAATTTATATACTGTGAACTAGCTGTCGCGCGCGACTCCGTCCGCGCGCGATTAAAAATAGATGGTAGCCGATTGTCAGACCTACTCAATATGCTCACAAAATTTCATAAGAATCGGTCAAGCCGTTTCGGAGTATGGGAACGAAAATTGTGACACGAGAATTTTATATATTATATAAGATATATAAGAGAAGATTACCACATGTTAAAGATTTTAATGCAATATTACATAAAATAAAACTATGAAAACATTTTTCATTTTCGTTATCACTTATTTGCGATGGGCGCCGACATTTATTGCCGGTTCCTGGAATTTGATAAGTCATAAAATGAAACAGTAAAATCCAGTAGCTTTTATGACGTCACAGATCACGTTCATATTTTATCATTACCTTTTTATATATTCTGTTACCGATTTCCGATTAAGTTAAAGAATAATTTTTAAAAGGTCTTACATTTAATATTTAAATGACTTAGCGTGAGTTTCTGAGACGCTAAATATATATTGTTAACTTTTTTGATTACAGGTATAAAGATATATTTTGGTGATAGGTGACTTTTGTGTCAGAAAGCAACAGTTAGCCGGTACATTTCTAGATTTAGTGTGTTTTAAACCTATCCGACGTAAAATAAGCATATCCGTCAATGTTAAAAAATATTATTAAAACATCGACAAAAGTACTTCTCAAAGAAATGAAAAAACCTAGCTTAGTTTTAAAAAGAACTTATTTCGTACATATAGCGAATAAGCGTTGCTGCGACGAGATTTGGACAGGAAGACAGCTGATATACGCGTGCATATTATTTGTTTTTTTTAATTCTACGGTGACGAAGTTGCGGGCGACCGCAAGTATTTTATATTTATATATTTTTATAAAAACATATAAGAAAATGCGAAATTGTAATAGAATATGTTTAGAAATAAGATTCTTTCCCTTCTAATACATTCAAGTAATTAATAACCTCAATACAGTATAGTTGATATGAAACACATTCAACTTTTATGTAACACGGTGATGTGTTTGTACATAATATTTAACTAAACATAGAATGGAATGTATTGTCTATAATTATATTAAGGAAAATATAACTTTCTATGGTATTTAATAAAGCAATATGCTTTATCGAGGTCGAGATTTGAGTTTCAGAATCTAATGATGAGAGCTCCTGGGCTCAGCGGTTTGCCGCAATCTGCATGTCCTAGGTTCGAATCCCGCTATATACCAATATGTTTTACGCTCTCGATTTACATATGTACATTTATCAGACCTTCTTTCGGTGAAGGAAAATATCGGAAAGCAACCTGCACATACCTGCGAAGTAATTCAAAGTTGTGTGTAAAGTCGACCCGCACTTGGCCAGCGTGGTTGACTATGGCGTCACCCGTAACTTAGGGTTCCGAGACCCTCAGTGTGGGTTTATAGTGAGCTTCCATGCGTAATATTTCCGTGTAAAATACAGCAGATTTCGAATTGAAAAAAATCCACTTTTTTGGGACACAATTGGACTGGTAAAAAATACTGGTGAAATATAAAAAAAACGCTAACATTTAATTTAAAAAAGTAACAAAATTACCTATTATTATTAATAAAACTATTATAAATTGTAATATAATATTGCTTATTCAGGTGGGCTTATCTATGTTATCAAATAATACTCAATAGAATATGACAATGTAAATGAATTCATCCGGTCAATATGTTCATCTAAAAACTACATAATAAATTAAGTTCAAACCCTCGTTTATGAAATAAGTTAATAAAACTTCTTAGATTTTTGTATCATAAAGTAGCAAGTGATCAAGCAGCAACCTAAATCCGCTGAAATGAAGAGACCACTGCCCATAGACATCGACATTTGCAGATGTTTTGCCTACCAATAATTGATTTAAAAGGGTGCGCACAGTAAGAGGAAATTTCCCCTTCTTATGCGTCAAATCTAGTACCCCTTTCCATCCTTTCCTTATGAGAAAAAGTATGAAAGAGTGGGAACAGAAAGGAGACTCAACTTAGGCATCCCGCACGTACATTCATCAGACAAAACTTCCCTTTTTTATATATTATAAGGTGGCAAACGAGCGAGCGGCCACCTGAAATCGCTGAAATAGCGTAGTGACCGTTACCCATAGACATACACAATTGCATATGCGTTACCTACCTTTAATCGACGGAGGAGAGGATGCACAGAAATAAAATAATTTCCCTTTCCATGTATCCTCTCATCCGGAAAGTCCACTTCCACTTCCCATCCTTTCCTTATAAGAAAAAGGGTGGGAAGGGAAAGAAGACTAAACTAGGCCTCCGGGACGCACACTCATCAGACGAAACGCGGAATTGCTTCCACTTCACGCCTTTCTTCTGTGTGGTCGTGGTATTTCACTGATCGAGCCGACCCTTTCGTGCATGTTGTTGTTGCTGTTGTCTACCACTGATCTTGTTTTATGTAAAAACTATTATAAAGAAAACCTTAAATATTTATAAAAGTCTACATTGATTGTAAGTATAGACAATGTTTAATGCACATGTAATATTTCCGTATTCATAGCTAAGTAAATGATATTTTTCCTGTTCCATTGATAGATATTGTTTTATATTTAATTAATAATATTTATAAGTAGCGCGCGACGTACGAGTACAACATTCATGATCAGAAGTTCATTGGAATTAGTTGTGTTCATTATGAAAGTGTTTTCTGCGGTGATGTGTACGGTTCTAATGTTTTTTATTTTTGATACAGTAAAGGGCGATGTGGTCAGTTTCTTCACTGCAATACCAACGGAAATTGGGGTAATCATTTGATATTTTATACATCATCATCAGCTCACTATACGTCCCAACTGAGTTGCTCGGAGCATTCCCTATGTTAGGGATAACTAGGCCATAGTCAACCACGCTAGCTCAGTGTGGGTTACACATGACTTTGAATTTCTTCTCAGATATGTGTAGGTTGCATCACGATGTTTTCCTTCGCCGTAAGAACGTCGGATAAACGTACATATGTAAATCGAAAATCGAAAACACATTGGTACATGGTGGGATTCGAACCCACGACCTGCAGGTTACAAGTCAAGTGCTTTAACAACTGAGCCACCGACTCTCTCGGTGTATTTTATACATAATTAAAAATTAATCCATCATCGTTTTTATTCTAAAATTAAATTGATTTTGTACTAAACGAAAATTCTGTTCTTCAAGTTCTATATGTTCTTAATTTTTTATTATATGTTTTTTAAACTATTCATATCTTTACTTCACTGTCAAAGAATATTTCGGTGTATATGTCCCGCCAAAATAAAGCGTTGCATTTCACAAATGTTTTGACAGAACACACGCACTAAGTGCTTGCTAACTGATTCTTCAATTGATACAATTATTTAAGAAATAATTATAAAATTGTGTATTAAGACTATGCACTATATAGTAGTAATTTATTTTTTTATTATAAAATACCGTTAGAGACATTCTACAAATGCGCACATACTTTTTTAAGACAATATAGGACAATAAGGAATTTACAATTGTATGTTATGATTCCAGAACGCATTCAGTAATGCCTGGGATAGGATCAGCGAAACAATAAGAAGACCTGTGCGCATAAAAAGATTAGGGAGAGGTGGAAGTGAGTTGGATTTTAATCTTTATCTACATTAACTATTTTTTAAGTAAACTAACTGACTGATATATGCGCAGTCAAAACTACCGCGCCACTTGACAACTGTACACAAATATTCCTGTTGTTACGTAGGCTACTAACAGTGGGTTTCTGACATCGAAATCTCCGTATAAAATGTATAGTCATCCCTGTGTCATCTTTGACAACGCAGAGATAACAATATGTTTTAAAATCAATTTTCAGACTCAGAAACACACGGTAAGAAAAGTTATTTCTAAATTAATCACCTAACCTAAAGGTTAAATATAAGTTTGTATGTAAAAAATGTTATACCTTCAAAATAATTACTAGAAAATTAACATAATATGTTGTTACAATACAAATAATGTAATAACTCATCTCTTAAATAAGTTGTTTAAAATTTATATATTAACTGTCTTTCAGGACGTAAAACGACATCAAAAGTCACACCACTGGAAACTACAACAACACCAGAAATTAGAGTCACAAGAGCGTATTTCCTAAGCTCAAGGAACCCTAATTTCTTGAACCATGCGATACCTGTAATACCGAAACCAAGCTGGCATTCATTATTCCATAGAATGGGATTTCCAGAAGATTTTATAAATTCAAAAGAAAATGTTGAGGTTGCAGGTATATTAATCTTGTTAATCGTTAAACGCACCTGGATATAAGTCTTTCTACTTAAATTATAAGCACTTCAATAAATGTCAAATAATAATCTGACGTATCGTCGCCCTGTACCTTAAAGGTATGCGTCCATTGGTCGCGCCTGATGCGATGTGGACGGCGCTGATGAACGCAGCGTTGTAAAATCATACGACGTAAACTAAAATCCGTTGCGGGCTTCACATGCGATGCGTCCAGCGCGGCCCAATGGACACGTACCTTAACACGTTAGCTGCCATAATGATTTTTCGAAAAACGAAAATTTTTTTTTTTTTATTTTTGTCCAAAACCATTTGATGGGCCCTTGCGGGTCACGCTTTATACAACAATGCGATTAAAAGCCACAGCGAGGTTTTGAATGGAAGTATAGCTTGTCGGACACATAGTCCGACATGGCCTGATTGAAACATTAGCTTGTCGGACATACGACTCGTATAGTCAACATGGCAGCTAACGTGTCAAGAGTGTTAAAAATATAGAATCCTTAAATCGAATTCTAACCATAATGCTATTATTAAAAATGGCAAGGTTTCGAATTACAATTACTTACATATTATCTACATATTATCTCCTGCCATGACATTTAAATTAAATTGTACTTTCAGAAACGAGAAACAAATAAATAAATATATTAATATATTATATATAATATAATAAATACAATCACTTTTCCATTCTATTTCTTGCCAGTATTTTACATTCAAAAAGTATATAACTGAAGTAATTTCATTTACAATTTCAGGCTGTGGTTCAAAACAATGCAATACATACGGCGGTGTGGTACATAAGACAAAGGTTGGATCTGACGGTTACGACAGTGCTATTTACAGAATTTTGTTCTTTGTTTAATCTGTACTTTTAAATATAATTTAAATTGTTTTAAATAAATTATTATTTTAATATCTTTTTTTAATTAATTTCAAAACAAAAGTTTTAATATTTATGAAATTCTATAACTCAAATACTGGCAGTGTTATTTTTAGAAGACTAGTGGTCCGCGACTCCGTCTGCGCCGAATAAAAAAAACATAATTAGGAGCCTAAGTGTTTTTCCTGACTATGTTCTATATGTATGCCAAACTTCATCGAGATCCATTCAACCGTTCTGTAGATACCTTCAAACAAACATCCATGCATCCATCAATCTAAGCATTCGCATTTATAATATTAGTAAGATATAAGATATAAGACCTAGAAATATATTATTTAAATCTTAATCTTATAAATTGTCTACATTTCAGTTACGACCTTTTAGTTCTTTAAGAAATCATCTATGATTTTCGCCGTAAATGCGTGACTTGAATTTAGTGCCTTGCGGTTTCTTTAAGTGGATTATGTAACACTACTCTAGTTGGTACGTGAGAATAAAAGTATATTATCTTCACAGCATCACGTCTCAAGAATAACTACGTTATCATATCCATTTTAATATTTTCCGTCCCTGTTGGAAATGATAATATTTTTATCTCCAACTGTTTGCGTTTAAAAGTTTTGTAAAGACACTAGTCACACAAGGCTTCGTCCGCGTAGAATGTGTTCTTCCATACTATTTTCTAAATCTATGCCAATTTTTATTAAGATCCGTTGAGCCGTTGCGGAGATACCTTCAAACAGAAGGTATCTCCGCAACGGACATACATCCACCCATCCATTCAAACATTTGCATTTATAATACATATCAGTAAGAAGAATTGTAAACCTTAAGTGATGATGGGTCGGCCACATTGCCAGCAAAACGGACGGCCGATGGGGCCGAAAAGTCCAAGAGTGGCAGCCGCGGACGGGTCGACGCAGCGTAGGTAGGCCTCCCGTACGATGAACCGATGACCTGGTCATGGTTGCGGGAGTGCACTGGATGCGGGTGGCACAGCAGCAGTGTTCAGCAGTGGACGAATTAGGGCTGAATATGATGATGATGATGAATAATTAAGATAATAAAATTAACATGTCTTATCTATTTTTGACCGCTTCTGTCTACCAATATCATGAATAACAAAAAGAAATAGTGTATAAAGTGTGTTGAAAAAAACATGTTAGTTAACAATTTAACTAACAACTAACAACAATCAAGTCAAACGAAATGTTATCTTCGTATATACATAATATACCTAGATATATATTATTTAATTTATCGAAAAAATATTTACTTTCCTTTAGTTTCTTTACTATCAAATACTAAGATCAAATAAAGTAGTATTCGCTTTTTAGTTAAATTCTTGTTCCGTTTTACTTCAGAGGGAATCAAATAAGTTTTCCTTTTGATGTGAACCTTATTTCTTTGAGAGATATTATGCTCTGGTTTGCGTTGATAAGCTCCACACGACTGAAGAAAATAGAGCAAACTTTAAGTAAAAAGAGTTACAGTAATACTCTCTGTGTAATTTATTTTATATCACAGATATTACTCGTAAGTATTTCTTGAAATTAAAAGCGGAATATACTTTTAGATATTATTAGTTACAATCCTTTGGTGCAAATGACGTGCTTTCGTTACAAAGTCCAGTGTCAGAATGAATAGTGAGGTGACATAAACGTCGACGTTAGTAAGGCTAGTGTTGCGTCAATACAATGGCACATTTTCGGATTTCCTCCTAACATTACTTCGAATCCTTTAACGCGAATGGCGCGCTTTTGTTACCAAGTCAAGTCTCAGATTGATTAGTGAGGGGAGATAAGCGTTGACATTTTAATAAGGCTAGTGTGGCGCCGACACCGGCAGTGTCGGATCTCCTTCCTAACAATACAAAACCTATTATCCTTTAGTCGAAATTACTTGAAAATCAAAACTTAGTTTGGCCTAAAAGTATTTCTCTCTTACTAATATTATGAATGCGAATATTATGGATGGATGTTAAAAGGTATCACGAGAACGGCTAAACGGATTTGGATGAAATTTGGCATAGATGTACAAAATAGTCTGGAGGAACACATAGACTACTTATTAAGTTTTTTTTTATTCTACGCAGACGGAGTCGCGGTGGGTCGCTAGTTTATCATAATTTATTTATTGTTGTTACTGAATAAGAAATGTTATAATTTCCAAAAGAAGGGGGCAAAAATACCACAAACTTGACCAAAAATCTATTATTCAATGGACGAAAATCACTTGAACGGACGTAATCCTGCCTATAACTACTTCCTTATTTATGATATAAAATCACTTAAGACCTTCATAAAACTATAATAGCTTGCTCTTAGGTTTAAGGGTAGTAAAGCGAAAAGTTCTTTATCATATTTTACGACGTTAACCCTAACTTTGAATGTTCCCTGCCTCAAACTGATAAAATGGAGTGAGACCGTTTTCTATGCCTGAATATACATAAGTAAGCTATAAATTTTTGTACTTTTCTTAAAAAAAAATAAAGCCACAATAGTGTTCTAGACCCCTTCAAACGAGGTTTAGGCTAAGTGCCATCTGCATTCCGCCACCTCAAGCCTGATGAAGCTGTAAAGGAGGCACTCAGGGCAAAACAGTAGCAATTCGGTCACCAAAAAAAAATCTAGACCCAAGATTTGATGTACGCAAGACGAAGTCAATTTGACGGAGGAAGAGACACGTGTGGAGGGGAAATATTCTCTTTTCTTTCCTCTTCCCTCTTCTCGTACACTCGTCAGTCGATTAAAAGCAAACGACGCATCTGCAATTGCTGATGTTTATGGGCAGTGATAGCTTCACTATTTTGGCGAATTTAGCAGCTTGTCATCTTATAATATTAAAAAAAAATCAAATATACGTTTCAAAGCTCAGTATAACATCACAAGAACTTTCCAGATATGTGTACACCTTTTTTTTCTTTTTTTTTAAGAGAGAGAATGCGTTACTCATACCGGGTGCCTCGGGGAAAGCCACTCCGGTTATGTGGGACTCTCTCCACATCCCTAATGGGACAAGGAGCCTACCCACTAAACCCCCTCTGGTTCCCTCGACTCACTGTTAACCGGGGTGTGGGCACATGTGAATACTCTTCAAGATATGTGTACACCTAAATAGATGCATAATACTTTGACTTTTTCTTCGCTTGTTTTTTATTTTGTAAATATAAATCCAAGTAAATTCATCTCCCGTAGTACTCAAACAAGTTTTCCATATAGTAATAGGGTAAGCCACGAAATACTACAAAAAGAACGGGGATCTCTTTGATCCGCTGCCCACTCCGACAAGGGCTCACAACACTCTACTATGTCTTGCAAAATTACTTGCCTGTCCACTTTGATGTTTTCTTCTTATTTTTATGTGTTAAGACACTTTTAGATGATTGATTTAAAACAGAAATCTATTTAGAATTAGAACATAAGTGCTCGGTAAAAGATTATTTTTCGTCAAATATTTAATTTTAAATTTATATATTTTATATTTGTCGTAATCAACGCAACACTAGCGCCACTGCGGCAGTTGAGTTTACTACGGAAAGTGACGCCAGCGCCGTCTGTCGGCGTTCGATGGGTCAACACCTTACCAGCCGAGGCACGGCAGCAGAACACTTCTCCTGTGGCTGCCGACTGGAACGGACATTGAACCATCGCGCGTTACCTACGTTATCATAATTGTAAATTGAAGATTGAAAAGTGCACCATGAACCCCTCTGCTAGCAGCAACCCGCCTCCGCCGTCATCCGAAGTGGGATCGATGTCCACGCAACATGAAGAGAAGAGCAATGAAGCGAATATTTGGCGTGCCATGTTCGAACAACAGAATCAGAACATGCGCGCGCTAATCGAAGCTCTGCAAGCGCCGAAACATGTCTATCTCGACAATCTACCTACGTTCGACCCCGAGAAACAGGACACCGATGCAAGATCGTGGTGTGCAACCGCTGATTTGTGCTTCTCTGAAAATCCACCAAGAGGCGGCCAGCTCGTGTTAGCTGTTAGTAAGGCCCTCAAAGGTGAGGCATCCACCTGGTTATCTCAAATCGCGTACGAAGGGATTACATGGAGAGAATTCAAATCACTTTTTAGCGAAAGATTTGTTTCGACAGAAACTTTAGCAGGTACCCTCATTAAATTAAGCGAACAAAAACCAAGTGAAAAAGAATCACTTCCGGCATATGCAAGTCGATTGATATCTTCTTTAACGAATCGTTGGAAAGATGTAAACAAAGAAGAGATAGCCGTCGCTACAGTACTGGCTCACATATCGCAGTTTGACACAAGACTTCAACGTTTGGCTTTTACTACGAACATCGTATCGCGAGAAAAATTACAACAAGAGTTAAATGCATTCTCTCAATTAAAACGCAAGTTAAATACCAGCGGCGAGTCATCGAGTGCACTTGATTTTAAACGAGCGAAGTTAACTCTCAAGTGCTTCAATTGTGGAAAGACCGGCCATAAGCGAGTAGAATGTAGAAGCAAGACGATCGACGTGAAAGGAAGACCTACGACACCGAAGCCGTCAAGCCCAGTGATGCAGCAGCCTACTCTAAGACCGTTGGTGTGCTACAAATGTGGCAAAACAGGCCACATCGCCGTCCGGTGTACCAGCGGCGGCAGCGGCGGTGGCAGCGGCGGCGGGTCGGGCGACGGAGGCGCCGGCGCGTCTCGAAGCGAGCGACGTGTTGATGTATGCGTCGTGCAACCACCGTCGGGCACATTACAACATAAAGGTTCACTGATTTACTTTACTTATGATTCTGGCGCTGAATGCTCGTTAGTTAAAGAAAGTTTTGCATCTAAATTTAGTGGTAAACGGTTTACTAATGTTGTTGCTATGACCGGTATGGGTCATTCTCGAGTGTTCAGTACCGAACAGATTTTGTCTTGTGTTAAAGTTGACGATCACCATCTCGAAATTTTATTACATGTTTTGCCCGATAATTACCTTCAGAGTGACGTCATGTTAGGTCGCGAGATATTAAAACAGGGTTTTGCTATGAACCTGATATCGACTGAGCTTTGTTTATCAAAAATTGTTTACGTAAATTTGATGCATAGCGATAAGGCAGGTACTCAAGATTTAACAATCGTTGTTACGGACGTAGTAGGTATTGACAAGTTAAAACTTATGCAAACATTAGATCAGTTTTCAGATTTCTTTATCACCGGTTTGCCTACGACTCGTGTAAACACCGGCGAGCTTAAAGTTAGGTTAGTAGTTAAAAGTCGAACGGTACAACG